TTTCTCACTTTGATTTTTGGGGTGTCCTTTGTAGGTCGATCATTTCCATCAAACGATGGGGCATCCTTACATTCCTAACACATCACCCCGACCATATCAGTCTAGAGATCCGGCAGAAGATTTGTCCCTATTGAGATCTGATGGGTTTTCAAAGTGATCCTTTCATTTTTTTGAGCCATGTATATATCTTATTTAATTGATTATCTAACTCTCCAACTATATCTATCTATCTATCTATCTATCTATCTATCTATCTATCTATCTATCTATCTATCTATATCTATCTATCTATCTATCATCTATCTATCTATCCATCTATCCATCTATCTATCTTTCTATCTATCTCTCCAAATCCCCCCATGACCTTTTCATAATGGATAGATCCACAATGATATAATATAAATGATGGCACAAAGCTCAGTATGTATATCTGTATATAATTCATTTTTCATCATCCTCCCAAAAACCTCCCAATCTATACAGTACAATCCAAAATATCTATATCTACAGTACATAGCAGGTGCTCTTAAAAAAAAAAAAGAAAAAAGACTGCTTTAAAAAAAAACAAATTCAGCTCCCATTGTTAATCTTGTGAAATTGGCAGTTGCCTGCTGGTTCTGGTGATCCCCTGACTTCACATTCTGATTCATAGATCTGTACCATTGATCAGTACCATAGATCAGTACCACAGAAACATACCATAAATCTGTACCATAGATCCACACCATATATCTATACCATATATTCGTACATTAGGTCCATACCATAGATCTGTACCATGGGCCTGGACCATAGATCCATACCATAGATCAGTATCATATACCTATACCATATATTCGTACATTAGGTCCATACCATAGATCTGTACCATGGGCCTGGACCATAGATCCATACCATAGATCAGTATCATATACCTATACCATATATTCGTACATTAGGTCCATACCATAGATCTGTACCATGGGCCTGGACCATAGATCCATACCATAGATCAGTATCATATACCTATACCATATATTCGTACTATAGGTACATACCATAGATTTGTACTATAGGTTCATACCATAGATCTGTACCATAGATCTGTAGCATAGACTCGTACCATAGATCCATACCATAGATCTAGAGTGATTTAGACAGTGGTGAAGTCAGAGATGTTAAGGCATGCAGAAGCAAGGCACCAGCAACGATATGATATATTACAGGTTTCTTTTATAGTGGACCATTCAGTGACTTTATAAGCCTGCACAGATCACTTCCTCCCACAATATACTGCAATTGTATCATTAGAAAAGTTCCGCCTTTTATCATTACAAGCCGACTTTGCCTAGGCTCACATGATGTCATCAGTCTGCTGCAGGTAGGAGGAAACATTTGCTCAGTCTCCCCTCCCCCAGTGATCAATCTGTACACTGTGAGGGGCTGCAGCAGGGTCTGCTCTGTGTCAGACATTTGTGAACACCAAGAACTACACAGGCACCAGAATTTACACGACTGTGTCATCTCTGACACAGAGAATCAGCCTCTTTACCAGGGAGCTGAAAGCCACAGAAGGAAGCCGAGGTTGTAATGCAGCTGAATGGCCTGCCAGACACGCTCCTCGCATTCACCTGCACTGTTCCGCCTTCAGGATAAAAATGGCCTTTTTCTCCTTTTCTTGTTTTATTGCTCAACAATCTCCAGCCAAAAAAAAAAAAAATTCACCGGAGCGCAGAGATCCTTCATTTCACACATGAGGAGGATGGAGTGAAGGATTTATGGCGAGTCCTCGAGTTTTATTACCTCTCTGTCCATTGCAGCAAGAAACGTTCACTGCAATATTGCAACACACACACAGGATCCGCCTCCAACCTACACCCTCCACCCTGCGCCCTGCGCCCTCCACCCTGCGCCCTCCACCCTGCGCCCTCCAACCTGCGCCCTCCACCCTGCGCCCTCCTGCGCCCTGCACCCTGCACCCTCCACCCTGCACCGTCCACCCTGCACCTTCCACCCTGCGCCCTCCAACCTTCGCCCTCCACCCTGCGCCCTCCAACCTGCACCCTCCAACCTGCACCCTCCACCCTGCACCCTCCACCCTGCACCCTCCACCCTGCACCTTCCACCCTGCGCCCTCCAACCTTCGCCCTCCACCCTGCGCCCTCCAACCTGCACCTTCCACCCTGCGCCCTCCAACCTTCGCCCTCCACCCTGCGCCCTCCAACCTGCACCCTCCACCCTGCGCCCTCCAACCTGCACCCTCCGCCCTTCAGCCTGCACCCTCCAACCTTCGCCCTCCACCCTGCGCCCTCCAACCTGCACCTTCCACCCTGCGCCCTCCAACCTTTGCCCTCCACCCTGCGCCCTCCAACCTGCACCTTCCACCCTGCGCCCTCCAAACTTCGCCCTCCACCCTGCGCCCTCCAACCTGCACCTTCCACCCTGCACCCTCCAACCTTCGCCCTCCACCCTGCGCCCTCCAACCTGCACCCTCCACCCTGCGCCCTCCAACCTGTACCCTCCGCCCTTCAGCCTGCACCCTCCAACCTTCGCCCTCCACCCTGCGCCCTCCAACCTGCACATTCCACCCTTTGCCCTCCAACCTTTGCCCTCCACCCTGCGCCCTCCAACCTGCACCTTCCACCCTGCGCCCTCCAACCTGCGCCCTTCAGCCTGCACCCTCCAACCTGCGCTCTCCAACCTGCGCCCTCCACCCTGCGCCCTCCAACCTGCGCCCTCCACCCTGCGCCCTTCAACATTCGCCCTCCAACCTGCGCCCTCCAACCTGCACCCTCCAACCTGCACCCTCCAACCTGCACCCTCCAACCTGCACCCTCCAACCTGTGCCCTCCACCCTGCGCCCTCCAACCTGCGCCCTCCAACCTGCACCCTCCAACCTGCACCCTTCGCCCTCCAACCTTCGCCCTCCAACCTGCACCCTCCAACCTTCGCCCTCCAACTTGCACCCTCCAACCTGCACCCTCCAACCTGCAATCTCCAACCTGCGCCCTCCAACTTGCGCCCTCCAACCTGCAATCTCCAACCTGCGCCCTCCAACCTGCGCCCTCCAACCTGCACCCTCCAACTTTTGCCCTCCAACCTGCGCCCTCCAACCTGCGCCCTCCACCCTCCAACCTGCATCCTCCAACCTTCGCCCTCCAACCTGCAATCTCCAACCGGCGCCCTCCAACCTGCGCCCTCCAACCTGCGCCCTCCAACCTTCGCCCTCCAACCTTCCCCCTCCAACCTTCCCCCTCCACCCTGCACCCTCCAACCTGCACGCTCCAACCTGCACCCTCCAACCTTTGCCCTCCACCCTGCACCCTCCAACCTGCACCCAGCCCAGCCCAGCCCAGCCATAAATCCCTAGTAATGGCATTTCCTCGCCAGACAATGAGAGCTGGATTAAAGGGTCAGTCCACCCAAAACTGGCATTTCACTGCTGAGTTCCTGGGTCTGTACGTCCGCTGTGCCCATTATGAGAAGTTCCCACTATCCCTGCGCTGCATTCCCAGGTCTGTACACCCGCTGTGCCCATTATGAGGGTCTTCCACCATCCCTGTGCTCAGTTCCCCACTCTGTACACCCGCTATGCCGATTATGAGGGATCACCACCATCCCTGTGCTGAGTTCCTGGGTCTGTACACCCGCTGTGCCCATTGTGAGGGGTCTCCACCATTCTTGTGCTGAGTCCCCAGATCTGTACACCCGCTGTTCCCATTATGAGGGGTTTCCACCATCCCTGTGCTGAGTTCCCGGGTCTGTACACCTGCTGCGCCCATTATGAGGAGTTTCCACCATCCCTACATCCTAGTACATATAACAACGCTACGATCACTTTAAAGATGAATTCCAGCTATGAACATTGTTGAAAGTCCACGCTTGCCCGACTTGGCCAAAGTTAGGATACATATTCCATACCTGGCTGATCCCCGTGGACGTGGAGAATCAGCGTAGTAGCCATTGCTACTACAGTGACTTGGCTGGTCCAAGCTTGACCAATGTAACTATGCAAAAAAAAAAGTCATGCCCCAAATTCAACTCTGACCATCCAATCAGGGGCAGGCAAAAATCCTGTTTCTTTAGCACATAAATGGATATTCATTGTATTCACTGCTTCACTCAATTTGCTAACCCAGCCTTTCTCAACCAGAGTGCCTAGGCACCCCGGGGAGCCTTGAGGCTTCTTCAGGGGTGCCTTGAGGTTTCTTCAGGGGTGCCTTGAGGCTTCCTCAGGGGTGCCTTGACGTTTCTTCAGGGAAGCCTTGAGGCTTCTTCAGGGAAGCCTTGAGGCTTCTTCAGGGATGCCTTGAGGTTTCTTAATGGGTGTCTTGCAGGGATGCCTTGAGGTTTCTTCAGGGGTGCCTTGAGGCTTCTATAGGGGTGCCTTGAGGCTTCTTTAGGGATGCCTTGAGGTTTCTTCAGGGATGCCTTGAGGCTTCTTCAGGGGTGCCTTGAGGCTTCTTCAGGGGTGCCTTGAGGTTTCTTCAGGGGTGCCTTGAGGCTTCTTCAGGGGTACCTTGGCTAAATGTCTAAAAATTGCCCCCAACGTGTTGAGGGTGTCAGATTCTTTGCTGAGTATTGACTGATCTTCAGGTATGGGTATAATTTGGCTACTTTTAGAGTCATACTAATTATCATCAAGTGCCCAGCGCTGCCATTAACCTCCTCAACCCCAACCTGCATGAGACCCCCTCCTCCCCCCCTCATGCTATTAAATATAGGCTGTCTCTGGCTTTTATTGCCAGCCATTGTGCTGAGATTGCCTCTGGCAGGCCGAGAGGTCAAAAGACGATTTAACCCCTTGAGCAGCCGGCAAGTTACCAAGCAGCCATTGGCTGTCCTCACTCCAGCCTTGGCATAAAAGCCTTTTAGAACTCCAGGGCTGTCATCTGCACCGTAGGAGATGATCGCACACACGGTGAACATCATCATAATGGCTAGTTGCTATTTATCACGACAAGCATTAGATACATTCTGAAATGGCTTTTGAATAAAAAAACATTTTGAGAAGAACTTACGCTGATTTTTGTCCCATCCCTATTCGCGATGACCTGGAAACAAGACAGAAAAGGAAGATTATTATGGTTTCAGGACTGAGTTGGTCTTTAAAGTGTTACTAAACCCACAACAGTACAATCAGTCTGTAGATGCAGTAAAGAATGTTTGTTATACTCACTGTGGAACCTAAGGGGTTAATCCTCAGCATTGTGTTAAAAGGCTGTTTGATCCTGTCTTCTCTGATCCTCACCTTCTTCTACTGTCCCCAATTCATCTGCCGATAGTACAGAGCAGGGGCGGACTGACCATTTGGAAACTCGGGAGGGCCCAGGGTAAGTAGGGGGCCCATGAGATGCCCCTGGTACCTTTTTCATAGGCTTTTTTGAGCTTGGGCAAGGACACAGGGGCCCTATGATCCCTTATTGCCCGGGGGCCCCATGAGTTGTCAGTCCGCCTCTGGTACAGAGCTCTAAGAGTCATTCTGCACATGCTCAGTTTAGAGTGCATTGCAAGAGAGTTTTTTTTTTCTACGGGAGAGTGCATGTGATCAGCACAGGACCAATCAGCGCTGTCCAGACAGAGGGTCAGGGGTTATGCAGCCTTATAGGACAATCAGGGGAGAATGAAAACTCCTCCTAAAAGATTAACCAGTGTTCAGCTGGACACTGATAGAAGTCACAAAACTGCTGATGATAAAAGGTATGTAGCAGTATATATTTACTAAAATAATTGCATTTCCATGTTGTGTGTACTGTAGGAGACCAGATATAGTGAATGCAGGGTCCAAGGAGAGCGGATATAGTGAATGCAGGGTCCGGGGAGACCAGATATAGTGAATGCAGGGTCCGGGGACAGCGGATATACTGAATGCGGGGTCCAGGGAGACCGGATATAGTGAATGCAGGGTCCGGGGAGAGCGGATATAGTGAATGCAGGGTCCGGGGAGAGCGGATATAGTGAATGCAGGGTCCGGGGAGAGCGGATATAGTGAATGCAGGGTGCGGGGAGAGAGCAGATATAGTGACTGCAGGGTCCGGGGAGAGCGGATATAGTGAATGCAGGGTCAGAGGAGACCGGATATAGTGAATGCAGGGTCCGGGGAGAGCGGATATAGTGAATGCAGGATCCGGGAGAGAGGATATAGTGAATGCAGGGTCCGGGGAGACCGGATCTAGTGAATGCAGGGTCCAGGGAGACCAGATATAGTGAATGCATGGTCCAAGGAGACCAGGTCTAGTGAATGCAGGGTTCTGGGTTTAGTAACACTTTATTATTAAAATTGTAAATTGTAGGCTTGCAGCTATTAAAAATCTGCAAACCCCAACAAGGAGATTAGGTAACTAGTTTCCTAGGTGTCTGTGAAGGTTCTCATTTTTCCAGGTCTTGGTACATCTGGTAGTAGGTGGTTACATTCAAGTGCACTTGTTCAGTAATGCTGAAGCGGATATAGTGAATGCAGGGTGCGGGGAGAGCAGATATAGTGAATGCATGGTCCTGGGAGAGCGGATATAGTGAATGCAGCATCTGGGAAGACCGGATATAGTGAATGCGGGGTCCGGGGACAGCGGATATAGTGAATGCAGGGTCGGGGAGAGCGGATATAGTGAATGCAGGGTCGGGGGAGAGCGGATATAGTGAATGCAAAGTCCAGGCAGATCAGATATAGTGAATGCAGGGTCCGGGGAGACCAGATATAGTGAATGCAGGGTCCGGGGAGACCAGATATATTGAATGTGGGGTCCGGGGAGAGCAAATATAGTGAATGCAGGGTCCGGGAAGAGCGGATATGTGAATGCAGGGTCCGGGGAGATCGGATCTAGTGAATGCAGGGTCCAGGGAGACAAGATATAGTGAATGCAGGGTCCGGGGAGGCCAGATATAGTGAATGCAGGGTCCGGGGAGGCCAGATATAGTGAATACAGGGTCCAAGGAGACCAGGTCTAAGAATGCAGGGTCCGGGGAGACCAGATATAGTGAATGCAGGGTCCGGGGAGACCAGATATAGTGAATGCAGGGTCCTGGGTTTAGTAACACTTTAATATTAAAATTGTAAATTGTATGCTTGCAGCTATTAAAAATCTGCAAACCCCAACAAGGAGATTAGGTAACTAGTTTCCTAGTTTCCTAGGTGTCTGTGAAGGTTCTCATTTATCCAGGTCTTGGTACATCTGGTAGTAGGTGGTCACATTTAAGTGTACTTGTTCAGTAATGCTGAAGACATTTTGTATCTTGAACAAGCCACTTCTGAACTTGTTCTGTAATGTTGAAGACATTTTGTAATATGTCCAAACCAGTCCTTCAGTTCTAAGAAGAAGTGGCTTGGACAAGCTACAATACATCTTCAACATTACAGAACAAGTCCAGAAGTGGCTTGGACAAGATACAAAATGTCTTCAACATTACAGAACAAGTGAACAATGTGACCAACTACTACTAGATACCTTTCAAGGTGCATATTAGAAATTTGCCTGTACCTATTATGACATGACATAACCCTTGTTCTTCTTGAAGGTGTAGAATAGAAAGTTCCATCAAGTCCAAACCAACAAAAAACACAGGTATTGCTGAGATTTGTGCTCTTCAATTGCTGTGGTGCCATGCTGGATTTTCTTGGGATACTTCAAATAATCAACAATTGAACATTGATGGGACGTTTAGTACAAGGCCATGGTGGGAGATGTAGATCTGAGGTTGCCCAGCATGTGTCTTGGACATTTCTGAAGAGCCTGAAGCTCTAGAAAGTCCACGTCAACCATATGCTGGAGTTTTTCATCAGCTGAGTCTACAGGTTGTCTATGTTTGTCTTCTGTGTGTTCTGTTCTACAGGTTGTTCTGTTCTACTAGTCTACAGGTTGTCTATGTTTGTCTTCTGTGTGTTCTGTTCTACATGTTGTTCTGTTCTACTAGTCTACAGGTTGTCTATGTTTGTCTTCTGTTGCATCTGTTCTTCACATTGCAGTAAGTTCATTCCCAAGGAAATATTCAGTACTAGAACATGTGGTTCCTCAATGTTTGTCTTCTGTGTGTTCTGTTTATGAGAACATGTAATTCTCTAAACTAGTCTACTTCTCATTTGTTTCCCATGTTTGTGTTCACTGTTCGCATTGCTATATCTAGAGAGCTTTCTCAATTTTCAACACAGAAGCTCAAATCCCAAGGAACCTCTGCAAAAAATTACACTAGAACTTATGATGGTTCCTCAAGAGCTGTAGGCCAGTTTATGAAACATGTAATTCTCTTAAAGAATTACAAGTCTATTCTGACCATTTGGAAACTTCCCATGTGGGTGTTCACTCAGTAGGGGGCCCTATATAAATGCAGGTACCTTTTTCATAGGCTTTTTTGAGTTTGGGCAAGGACACAGGGGTCCCATGATCCCCTATTGAAGGGGGCCCCATGAGTTCAGGGAACCTCTGCCCCTGCCCCTTACTAGATAGCTAACAATATCAATAGTGTCATGGCCACTGGGAAGGCATACTTCTTACATTGCAGTTATTGGAACCCTAAGGAATTAGCAACCCCTGAAGGGCCCTAGTTGAAACCCTGCTACCATTAAATATCTGAGAAACCACTTTAACACAGGGCCCTGGGTCATAGGGGGGTCAGTGCAAGCCGTGTAAGGCTAGGTTCACATGGGCAGAGGGCTGTGGTAGAAAACAGGTGTTTGCTTCATGGTAGCTACACCCACATCTGTAGTATAACGTACTGAACGGGGCAATGCAGACTAGTGTGTTCATGTCATGCCTGTTGTGGCCTCCCTAGTGGTCTGATTATGTCAGTATTTCTGTGCTCAAAGCGGTACATTTTTTTTGCATGGAAATATTTTATTGTCGGCCTGTAATTTTTAGGAATAACTCACTGAAATCTGTCCAAACAAGAGTCTAGTAAATATCCAGGAATGATAAAATTTGAAACATGAAATCATAAATTATAATTTAATAAATAATACTAAAAAAATAATACAATAATAAATGTAATTCAATAATTTAATCAAACCAAAAACACTGAAATGTGAAATAGAGCGCCAAGTTCGCACATCGCTGAGCAAAGTCGCAGAATCGTTTTCAGTGTCTGATGAGGAATTTCCCCCACGAATCATTATCACTCAATTCTGCAAGTGGTTCTGATTTACTATCGCTGTTCTCTAGCCGGTCTAAAACCGCGTCTGACCTAAAGGGACGCTTTTTGGACGCCATGGACGTTTCTCAGTTTCCAGGCAGAAAGAACAGTAAAAATGCAGGCAGGGCGCCGGACAAAGCACTCGGGACAAAATGTATGTGAAATGGTTTGATACAGGAATGTTATACTATGTGATTTTAGTGAATTTAGTGAATGTCACTTTTTCACATTTTTTAATTTCCGGCCAGTTCTGCCCCCGTATGTCCCGACATCGCAGGAACGGAACCCGGAAGACAGATGCCGGCATCGGCCGGAGGACATTACAGGGGACACTGCAGGGGGGACATCGCGGGAGCGCAGGACAAGGTAAGTGCAGAACAGATCCTGGAACAACGCTGCAGTGTATTCCTGAGTGTAGCTCGGGGGGATTACCGCTTGTGGTGCTGAAACTTTACCCCGAGCTACACTCGGGAATACCGCCAGGGAGGTTAATTCGCCTTGTTGCTTTGGGCAATATACCTGCCAGATGTGTCCATCAAAGTCAATGGGACCATGCCACGACCATGTGCCAACCACGGCTATGATGGTTGCAGCATGCCATTTCAAGGTGAAAATCCTCCTCTGGATAAAAAAACAGGCATTGAAGAAGGTAGCAGTATTGTCCTCTGAATGCCCTCACACCAATTCTACACAACGCTTGCCTGCCAACCATGTGGAACAAGTCTAAGAGCTTCAATTTGACTTGTTATTAGCCCCTTACAGTCCCTTTACAAAGAATCTCAGACTGGGAGCAGCAAAAGCAGCACAAGGAGCCAGTAAGTTGTTATGCAGTGCTCATGGGCTAGCTAGAAACATGCTGATAGGAGGAGAGAGCAGAGTGAAAGAGAGATGAGCTCATCCAAGGTTTCACAGCTAGGGTTGCTAGAGGTTCTTT